AGTCATGATTATGCAGTGCAATGGTTACTAAACTTGTACAAGGAAGATGATACGTTTTTACATGAACCGGCGATCAGGCAATCTTTCTTCTTCCCAAAAAAAGGCATGATCGCAGGTTATTTTTGGATAGTGTTAGAATAAACGGCGTTGAAGCTTAAGTCAGTTGATGGAATTTACGTTACAAAGTTATAGAAAGGCCTGGGTCACCTGTTATTGATATAGTATGAAGAAAGACAGTTTAGAAGTTCATGTACTTAAATTTTTGGCGGGCCGGTGTGGTATAATGTAGAAGTGAGGAAGTGAGATTAGGATACGATAGGTTCGGGTTCAACCTTGGGTTGCGATCTTCTTTCTTTTTAATGGAAACACTCTCAATACAACAGATAACAGTTGACAAACATTTTCCAAGAGTCTTAAAATGAATGGCAACGATCGTTTACAAAAGGGAAAAAATTGCAACACCGAATAATCGGCCAAGCGGAGTATTATTTGCAGAAGTATTCTTGTTGTTTTTTTTTTCCCTTAGGTTTTCGAGCAGATAAGAATTCTTATGTTAGGCGAAATTCTTTTCTTGACATGTGTTTCTTATTTCTATTTTGGCACTGTTTAGTTGGGCCCTAAAAAAATCATTCATTATTCCGATGGCAATCGAAAATTCCAGATTTTCAAACTGCAAATATTCATTATTCATTTTCTTTTAAAACCTGTTATTTTTATTTGTTTTTCTGCTTTTACTCCAGAAGCTGCAGATGTAAGCTGATTGGTCAAAGGCTGGGCGGTTTCAATTCGTCCATGCATTGGTAATTAAAACTGATGAATGGTTGTTTGTTAAGACTCTACAGGTTGAGTTTTGTGACAGGTGCCGCACACAATTTTACCACAGAAGTATTTCCTCTTTTTTTGTTATCAAAAATGTTATTTCTTTGTATTTTGTGGATTACAATCAAGTTCTTCTGTTCGGTTCATGGGCAATTCTGCAGTTCAAGTGGAGGTCAGTTTTGTCGAGCCTACCATATTGTACCCTAACTCTCATTCATGATCAGTGAGAAACTTGGGACAATTTGAATTAAGATACTAGCGTTGATCCGAAAGCCAAATTGCCACCAAGTAACTTACAGATTTACCACGGTTTTCATGTTCATTATCTGTGGGCTTGACCTGAAATTAGAGATTTCACAGTGAAGGTGAAAGGAAGTTCAGCACTAAATTATTCAAATAATTTATGACTTTGTTAGATAGTTGTAACCTACGTTTTATTAACCGATACACTAAAGACATATTTTTACAAACTAAGAATGTTTAGGATAGATTTAAGTCTCATAAATGTATTATTTCAACTATTTTTAGAGTGTACACAAGGTTAATAAACAAACTGCTTTAATAATACCTAAAGAAGTTACATAAAATGTTGACTCTGATGTGTTACGCTGTGATAACTATACAGGTCTTCAGTCAAATCCGATGAATTTAGAAACCAGGGAAACATATTCAGCTCCTGATTGCTTGCCTTGTGACACATAGTGGGCATAAAATGGAGTAATATTGTTTTTTTTTTCAGCCAGCTGTTTGTTTGGTACGTTGTTCATTTTAGTCAGTGAAGTGATAATTGGCAATTTTGGTCTCACGCTTATATTCACTTAAAACTGTCATTGGAATCCGTTCTGATATTGGCATCTGTTTCAGCCTAATTGCGTTTTGTTTAACTATGCACTTTTGGGTGCTGTGGGAAAATTAACGATATTGCTTGTTTTTCTCTTTGGAGTTAAATTTCCTTTGACATTAGGCTATTTCATAAAGACTGAGTGAAATTTGTTGCTAGGATTATTTCGGGATTAGTTATAA